GGTTTTATTTCCTTATGTAATAACTCAGGTTTTCACAGCAGTGAATTAGTCTTCTAGGTTATGATACCTTGTAGTCTGGTAGATGGGGTACCAACCCCTGAATATGAGAGCATTATATCCTGTCAGAATGCTAGCATCCACCTACCAGACTACATGGTGTCATACCTCATGAGACCACAATGTTTTAGTTCCTCATGTAATCCATTGTTTGATTCCAGGCAGGGACAGAGGGTTTTCCCATTCTCCATGGTATCCAGACCAGCTATGGGATGCACCCAACCTCTAATTAAGTGGGTACCAGGAACTCTTGGCTTGAGGGTGAAGTGGCTTGGGTGTGAAACCTGACCATTCACCTCCATCTAGTGCTGAAGTTAAGAATGTATGGAGATATACCTCCACCACTCCCCTGTAGATTTTTACAGTGTAGTGCTTATTTAAATGCTGGGACAACTTTGTGCGTCCACACCGCCAAACAAAAACTGGTTATAACATATGAATGGGGACAGTATTGTCCAATTAGAACTTGTATTTTACTTGAAGTGTTTAAAATGTTCCAGGCATAATCTGTAGATAAATGCCCACACAGTGTAAGGGCATTATGTCCACATTTTAGTGCTTTGTGTAGACACTTTGCAATTGTTTGATCCCTGTTCAAGAAGTTCTGCTTTCACATTAACAGGATTGAGGAATCCTGTTGAATGAAGTCCAACTCAGGGAAATGCTGTGAACTGAGGCCCTCAGCTTCACTCAACTCGACGTTGCAGAGGTGTACAGGAATTCTGTGCAAAATAAGTGATTCTACTTTTGCAGTGTCTTAGCAAGTCACACTCACTCAACTTTACTGCGCTCGACTTATTCAGCACCTGAAACAACTCACTGTTTCAGAATTACTGAATCATAACAAGTCTCAGTCTCAGATGTCTGAAGAAGAAAGAAGTTGTGTACATATTCTTCATTGTTTGGACTTTAATTTTAAGAAGTCAAACTTAAAATCCCATTTTCCTCTTGATTGTCACCAAAATGCTTCTGAGTCAGCCCCTTCTGTAGAATATTTTTAACACTCTTTTGGAAGAAGACTTCGCAAATTTGAACTACTGTGAACTTCATCATGGAGGACATGTTGTGGTCTTCTGGGCTGTGACACCATGTAGTCTGGTAGGGGGGCATCAAGACCTCAGGGGAGGTGCACTTCTGCCATGAAGACAGAAGCAATGTACTGCTCCAAAATGTTGGCACCCACCTGCCAGATGACTGTGATGGTTGTGAAGACCTCAGATTTCGCATATGTGTGGTGTGTTTCCATTGCAGTCGTTTCTGCACATTGCGTGTTTTCTTCATGTTAACCGTCTATTTTTAACACCAAATCATGGTCATTTCATTCATCACCTCATATATGAAGTGTAAATTTTCTTACAGTCATTTCCAACTGCATTCCAAGTTGTTCACAAAAAATACAATATGTTTCCATTACAAAGACCAGTAAGTCAATGCTGTTTAGAGAAATAGGCACTATTTATTGTGAGAATCAGATGAAACATAAATACAGTTGTGGGCAAAACAGACATTTTTATTGTTAAAGTGCATGTAGTAACTGAATGGGTTTATATAGTTGGTTGCATATTCTCATGCATGGGTGTGACCAGGATTTTGTCTTTGGGAGGTGGGGGACAGACAGAAGAAGAGCCGTTTAAATCTTCTTACTGATCAGCTTAGGGCAGCGATTTCTAACCAGTGTGCTGCAAAGGGTCCACTGGTGTGCTGTCAGAGTTTGGGGGAAGGTCAAAGAAAGTAAGAAAATTGTCAAAATTGATGATCTACATTATTTTTAAAAATAACAGTGATTGGACTTTGAGCTATTGAACTTCTAAACACAATCTCATTACTTGTTTTGTAAATGATAAATTCCCTCCTTAAAAAAATTGATGGTGTGCCTTGGCAATTTTAGCGTCTTATTCAGCATACCATGAGTTGAAGAAGGTTGAAAAACTCTGCCCTAGGGTATTAAGGGTAGAAGAGTAATTTTTTGTTTTAAAATTTGGTGTTTCCTATCTTTTTCAATTGTATTTATTTTTTTAAATACAAATAGGGTGTTACATAGATGCCTGATTTGTCCCCCCCCCCACAGACACACATGCACATGCTCAAATACTTAATGTACTCGTTATGGAACAGGAATGATCAAATTCGTCTGACCCCCCAGGTAGGACACCCTGATGCAAATGTCATCTGTATATCAGCTGCACTGCTCATTACTCTTTTCAAGAAAATGCAAGATGGTGCCTTAATGGATCATATTTACAGTTGTATATTTTTGTTTGCTGGAAGAGAGTTTCATGATTTTAATTTCTTGTAAAAATTCCATTTGATTTCCCTCACATTAAAAATCACCATGCTTCAGAGGACACATTTTTCAGTCAGTGTAGCTGATGATTCACATGCTTGTCAGACTTCATTTTAAAAAATCATTGCATTTACTTTCCACAGTGATCTCAGATGCGACAGCAAGTACAGTGTATGTTGTCAGTATGGTACATTTTCATGTAAGGTATGGAATGTATGGACAGAAAGTGCAAATTCAGTGCAAATAAGAAAGCTTACAATGATGAATGTGCAGAAGAAGAGTAAGACATGGCAATAAGACAGGAGTTCTGCAGTGTCTACTTGCACTTCACTGAATATCTATTCATACTCAGACATGAAGACACAACTTCTGCATTGTTCAGTGGCTGTTCAAAATGTTTGCAAAGTTTTTATTGAATCCTATATGAAATGTTGCTTGTTTGGAGCTTCTTACTTTGTAATAAGCTGGCATATTTTGTGACATTGATTGTACAAACAATGCTTAGACTGAAAGTTGATTGTATAGTTGTACTGTGAAATGGATTTTTCTTGGAATATTGTGTGCTTTAAGAAGAAATCTGCCATAAGTTTGTCTTTTTATTTTACCATTTTAATTATTATTATTATTGTTGTTGTTGTTGTTGTTGTTGTTGCTGCTGCTGCTGTCTCTTCCAACCATTCCTCTCCCCTGCTGGAACAAAAGCCTTTCCTGAGCCAGTTAAATCCAGGCCACAGTATCACACCTGCTCAACCCTGAATTGACTTGGCATCCATATGGCCCATTCAAATTAGTTTTCCCACCCAAGTCTTATACTCGTATATCTTTTGTTTCCTGCAGCTGAGTTGCAGTCTCGCTCAGCAGTAATGCATCTGTGTACAGAGTTTGAATCTTAACAAATGGTTTCTTTGGTTTAAATGAAAATTTCACTGTAGTACCATATACGAGGGTAAGTCAATAAGTAAGTTACAAATGGATATAGAACTTAAACAAATAAAGAGTACTGATTTGAAAAATGCTTCTATTTCTCAACATAATCTCCCTGTACATTGAGGCACTTGTCCCATCGTTTCACAAGCCCCTGAAAACCAGCAGCATAAAATTATTTGGGTTGCTGTCAGAACCAGGCAGTGACTTCCCTTTCTACAGCTTCATCGTTGGGAAAATGTTTAATGATGTTTAAGAGGGCCGAACAAATGGAAGTCGCTTGGAGCAAGGTCAGGGCTATATGGAGGATGCTCGAGGACTTCCCACTTGAAATTTCGCAGCATCTCATTTATCTTGTTGGTAGTATGGGGACGTGCATTGTCATGCAAGAGCAACACGCCTTTGGTGAGGAGTCCTGGTCGCTTCTGTTGAATGGCCTTACGAAGTTTCCTGAGGATGTTACAGTAGGAGTCGGCCTGTACGGTTTGTCCTTGAGGCTGGAATGCAGCAAGCAATATGCCTTCGTGATCCCAGTCACCGCCTGGTTAGGACACGACCAAAGAATTTTATGCTGCTGGTTTTCAGGGGCTTGTGAAACGATGGGACAAGTGCCTCAATGTGCAGGGAGATTATGTTGAGAAATAAAAACATTTTTCAAATCAGTACTCTTATTTGTTTAAGTTCTGTATCCATTTCTAACTTGCTTATTGACTTACCTACGTACAACAAGCAGAAGTACCTATTTCACCTAAATATGGTTACTTTCCTTATCAATACTACATTTTATGGGACCTTATGTGATCTGTGTGCTGTCTATGCATCCCCTTTTGTCAACTTTTGATTGCCTAACCTTTATGATACTTGGTATGTATATTATGGCACCTGAGCCAGTCTTAACAGCATACTTCATAAATGCCTCCCATCAGTCTGTGTGTCTGTATGTGGATCCCCCTATCATTGCTAGGCAATGGCTCAGTAGAACTGTTGTTGCAACATTGGATACACATGCAGCAAAATTGTTTGAGGCATTTTCTATGTCAACCCTGTCCAACGCGGTGCCTGAGGTATATTTTTCTGGCGCCCTCCGTAACCACATATAATTGAGCTGATTCTAATATGAATTCAAATTGTAAGACACGACATTTTTGAACGTCTGAGTGAGTACTGTTAAATATTTTCGAAAAATTGTATTTTTATTATTATTATTATTATTATTAGTAGTAGTAGTAGTAGTAGTAGTAGTAGTAGTAGTAGTGTGGTGGTGCCGCACCTCCATAGGCATCAGTGAATTGTGTCCGAGTATGTAAGAACGTTGGACAGCACTGTTCTATGTGGTCCATTTTGTAGCAAAGGAAAGTAGGTAATTAGGTGTACCAAGAACTTCTTGTTACATGATCAGGCTTCATAATGTTGACAGTTAAGACAGACTTGTGGATTGAGTGTTCACACAGAATATTGTTCGTTCTTGATATTTAATAGCACCAATTTTACAGCTCATGTTTCTATATTGGTAAGGTAAAGCTATCCCTTTAACAGGCTGTGGAGGCCCATAAGGTTCTGAGACGACAAGGCTCACACATTTGCTGTTGACAGTCAGCTCACAGATGGTGGTGAGGTTGTCACCCTTTACCCCCCAGGAAAATTCCTGATACACATTTCTGTTAGAGGATGAGTTGATCCCCATGGCCATAGTGCAGCCAGAAGGGTTAGGTAAATTAAAAAAATCCACCTCATCAGGACTCGAATCTGGGATGTTCCGACTTGTAGCACAGTGCCTTAACCAACTATGCTACTGAGTGTTCTGATTGTATATTGACTGCAGAATAATTCAGATTACTTGCTAGGCAATTACATTGTCTGGTCTATAAAATTCAGATGAGCAATACTATCATTACAAATAACAGTATACCAGTAAAATGCATTGGCTGATTGACTAGGTAATTGTTCTTTTCTGATATTTGTTTCTTAAGCATGTAACTTTGATTCATGGAAGAGCTGTCATCAGCCATGACAGCTGAAAGAGAAGGCACATCTGAGCATGATTGTTTGGACATTTTCCCTCCCGTAGTGCAGCGCTTGGCATACTCTCCCAAGCAGGCAACATAGGCAATGGCATGAGGGATATAGCTCTGGTCAAAAGTGCCAGAGAAGAGGAGAGATGAGAGAGGACCCACTGCAAACACAGGCACGTCCTCTCCGCCATGTGTTGACCATGTTCGAGGGATGGCTGCTGCCTGCACTACATCTCTGTAATTCCCATGAGGTACAGACCTTGGCACACTGTACCCTGGACCGTTACCATACAGAAGTGTGGAGTATGGTTTGCCATCAACATCTGAAAGCTTGTTGTCCAGCCCTGAAACCATAATTTATCTATATTTTATATTTGAATGATCAAGTAAAGAAGATGAGCAGGACATATAGCATGGTTGGGGGAGAAGAGGAATGCGTATAGGATTTTGGTGGGAAAAGCAGAAGAGAAGAGACCACTAGGAAGATCTAGACATATGTGGGAGGATAATATTAAGATGAATCTTAGAGAGATAGGATGGGATCTAAAAGTTTGTGACAATGGTACATTAGTACAAATATTATGTTTGTGAACATTATCCATTGTCTTGCCTTTATCTAAAAACCGTCCTGTTTATTTTTCAAAATACAACATTTTGGAGACCGGATTCTGGCTCCATCTTCAGGTGAAACCTACTCAGTGAGGACCAATCAGTAGAGCTAGTTCCTGTCTCCGGAGATATTTAAGCCTACTTTCGAATGTGATGTGATGGAAGAAGATACCCCAGTGACACATGTAACTAGATAACATTGCTCATATCATCTGAGTGGCAGGAGGGGGTGAAGCTGCTCATTCCTGCATATTATTCAGGCCTCGTGGCAGTAATTGCAGCTAGACTGCAGGTAATTCCAGCTGCCTCTCTCTGGAACAGTTCGAGTTGCCTTAGATCGCTCTAACATGAGACCAGTTTTAAGAATTCTGAATATCAGAATAGGCTTCTAGTACCCAGTCTTTTTACTGGAAAAAATAAGACAGACATTCTGGAAGTGTTGTTCCATTAGAATTAAGAGTACAAATGAATTATTCAGATTCACAATGACTGATGAACTTCACTGCAGCCTAACTGGCCTTTGAATGCTCTGTAACTGGAACTGCGCCGTGGCTATGCTAAAGCAATGAAATAGCGATCATTACACTTATCAACAATGAAAATAACAGTCGTTTTAACATTTCATTTGTCACATTATTATTCTTTTTCATCAACCTGGATGAGATCTGATGGCCTGTTTCAGTTTCTGAGATTGTGAATCTTATAGACATTAGATTGGGCTTCTTGGACAGTGACATAGACCTTCAGAAGGTCTCTGCACTGGACAACACAAACCTAGAAAATGCGGACCCGACTGGGTTTCGAACCCACGATCACAGTGTCTGGTGGCCGGAGAAACAGTGTCCTTGCACTGCGCAGCCACTGGCGTATTCTCATTACTTGAGAAATATAGACAGTATTTACTTGCACAGTGTACACTCTTTTTACCGAAAATAACGCGTCTGAAATTTTGTGGCGCGAAATACGCGCATAATGTTTTCATAATATTTTCCAGATAATTTTACCCGCTAGGTTGAGGCGATTACAGTTCAGTACGATGTGACAACACACTATGGGCTTTCGTACCCATGGGCTTCACCACGTAATTCCTCCATTAATATTAGAACGAAAATCCTCCTTGATAATGTCACGTGGTGTGACTGTAGATGGGGTTTGGATCGCCATTCGATTTCATTGGACACTCACACTTGTAACTACAAATAACTACGACAATCTGAGTTACACACTCCAAAGATCACTATGACTACAGCACAGAAAAAGTCTCCTCAGTCTTCACTAGCCGTTGCTTGGTAGCGACTTCCAACGACAGACGTTCCGCTTCCTCTGCGTTTCCGAACTTTCCCAGGCCTCAGCTACCAGCTTTTCATTTCTCACTGCTGTAACTCCCAGCTGACATCTCAAAATCGGAGTTATATTACGTCTGGCGGTTTACCACCAATGCCAAGCCATTGAGGCTCATGACCAGAGGGTTCTTTTTGCAACTGAACCCTTGCGGTCATAGTCCTTCTGTAACATTCTCTCTGACGAAAGGATGTGGTTGTCTCTTTTGAATATGCTTGGCCTTTTGTCAGGTGCATGTATCACACATACAGCATGCTGTTGAGAATTTTCCTTGTGCACTATATATACAAGTTCTCTGTCAGTACAGGCTTTTAAAAGCAGATCATGCCTGTCTTATGCATCTTATGCTACAACGGCAGTTTAGTTACTTGAACGGTCGTAAGCTTGACCACCGCCAAGTTTAAGCCTCTTATATTTTGTATGTCTGGCTTCACCTTGTCCTATGCTGCGTACATGTTCTTTCTCACGATTTTGTACTACTTCTGCTTGTTGCCTGCACAATTATGTCATACGTATAATCGTATACATACGGAAGGTTGAAAGCCGTGTACAGATCGCGGACCGGTGTGCACCTTGGGAAATTTCCAGTGGTGCGGAAACCCATGTTTTGTAGACGTTGCAATTTTAAGAGGTATGTGTCTGCCGCTAATTCCCAGGCGGGGCAAGCGTGTTGGAGCTTACGCATCCACTTTTGAATAGGGAGTAGATTCTAATAAATGTGCTGACGCCCTTGCCTTCAATCATTTCTCTGTGCAATCTCCATGGAATCCTCTTATCGAAGATTACATCGAGATGTATTACATGATCGTCAAAGGGGATATTCCGTCCATTGAATGTAAGATGAGCCTCAGGGGGGCTAAGTCTATGATAAAAGTAGATGGCCTGAGTCTTATCTTCAAGTCAAAGTCACATTGCGACTGACGGTCAGTCAATCAGTAAGTCTTGTTGTCGAGCCCCATCTGGTGCTCATATGACCAGATATTTTATACTGTTTGACAGTTACGGTCTTGTTTTTGTGGGGCGCCCTCTCTGACGAGAGGACGGGTCTGTCTTTTGTACTATATGCAGCTGGCCCTCGCCAGGGCAGTCTTTCTCGGGTCCGAATCCTATGACTCGCGACCATATTTTACTGTCTCAGATTTCAGACTTCCCTTTTCGTCGCCTTGTACGACTCGCAGGGTCACGGTGGAGGTATTCGACCCCGCCTCCACACCTCCTGGCTCCATGAACAAACCATGAAAATATCTGTGGTATGAATTAGTTTGGATGTTGATAGAAATGAATGTCAGTCATTGAATTGAAATCCTAAGAACTGAGCCCATTGTGAGCCTTACCTAGAATTGAGTTGCCACGTGGAGTAGTGAGACCTCCCATACTGAGCACGTTCGAGTGATCAGCTGTGAAGACCAGCAGGGTCTCAGCAAGGTCCACTTGTGACATCGCTTCCAACACAGCGGCTTCCAACGCCAATGTCTCATCCAGCGAACGGAAGGCGTTGTTGTAATGATTTGCATGATCGATCCTTCCACCTAAAAGCAGCATTTACTGTATAATGGCAGTATTTAACCCTTTCACTGATAGCCCATGTATTGTGAACATGACTTCCGCTGTAATAAGAACCCTTCTGTTTCAAGAAATCATACAGATCATAAGCGTGACCTTGATAGGTCGCGGGGTTCAAATCTTGGCCATGAGACTGGCTATCCTGACTGGAGATATTCGTGATTTTCCTCAATTTCTCCATTAAAATGCCTGGATATTATCTCAAACTTTCCACAGTCACTTCTATTTATTCAGCAATCATCCCACCAGTTGACGCTCTATAGTGTCAGCTACTTAGAGCGTCGTTAAATAATCAGTTCATAAATAGAGATCATGAGTTCGAAAACTTACGGGAACAGGTAAATACGTGCTTGAAAATGACGTTGATAAGATGCCGGTCTGGTGTTTAGGTACATGCTATGTTGTCAATACACGGGGCTTTGTCGAAATCAACCGTTCTCAGATGTTTTGCGTTTCATAGTCCCCTGAAACTGCTAACCAGACCTCTGGACCCCTTTGGAAAAGACGAGCTTGCAGAGTGCAGAACGCAGTTCCTAATGCTCCTATAAATGGGCAAAGATGACCCTTACAACTGTCAGGTCAATATATAAAATGCCATCCGCAGACAAATAAGTTTGGGGAATGGGTTGCAGAAAACGAGTACTTGTTGTATCCCTGGTAATCAAAGTCAAGGTCTCTTGTAGCACTCCCGATTTAAATTCATCAGAATTAATTTCTTGCTGCGGAGGCCACAAACTTATGCAGTTCACAGTCTCCCAGCCTGTCCTGACGTCGAGCCAGATTTGGGGCCCAAGACCAGATTTTTGTTACTGTCAGAAAGAAAAATTCTTAATCTTATCTTACCTTCTATGAAGAGGAAGAACCCACGAGGATTCTTGAGAAGGAGTTGTACTGCTATTCGCGTCATCTCCAACAGAGTGGGGTCCCCACTAGGCCCCGCACTGCCGTCTGCTTCAAATTCCAAGTGCGAGAAGGCGAATATCCCTACACACACACCAGTGAAAACTGTCACACACATCTGTAGGGGCGTGTCATTATCATTTGTGTGTTTCGTATGGTTCTCATAGTAAACAGCTGTTATTTCCCTCAACAACATTAATCATGTGGTCTATGTAACGGAGACATGGTGTGTTTCCTGTGAGGTAGGATGTGCATTTCTGTAAATTACTTGTATGAATTTCAGACTTATAGAGTTAACAGCATGTTTCCTTTCAAGCTAACTGCCCGAAATGAGCATTGCCTCTCTCCTCACCCAGCAAGTGATCTAGTGTTCTGACATCCACTTGCTGCAGCTGCCTCTTGTTCCAGATGTACTGTGCCTTGAGTCCTCGCCCCTTCTTGTCTCGCAGCCAGTCTTCCACAAGATTACGACCATCCAACCTCCGGCCCTCTTTCTGAGGTTCCTCAGGATCCCGCGTCATAGCAGACACCCAGTGTCGCCGCCCTCCGCCCAGAAGCACCTGCAGAAATGCATTTCAGTGTACCCTGCTACAGTGCGTCACCACCAGACAGTAACACGGATCCTTACGTTATTTTGCGAGCGTTACCAAATTCTGTCTTTATTCAAGGTTCTCACAGCGCTGACTACGAAGATTTCTGTCGCTTATTAGATTATATTTACATGTCCTTATCATGGGACCCAGAACCACCGTGCTGGACATCTCACTCAGCACAACAGTTTTCTTTCGTACACCGGCTAATCCGGATTAATTGGGAGGGAGAGGAGGTGATCCATATTAACCGATAGTCCAGGTTAATGAAACAAAAGAGAGCCCTAAAAGGCAAAGAAAACTTATTAGACAAAGGTAAAGCTATCCCTGTAACAGGCCGTGGAGGCCCATAGGGTTGTGAGACGAAGGTGCCACATTGTCTAGAAAATCGGCTCACAGATGGCGGTGAGATTGTCAGCCTTACGCGTCGGCCGCCATTTGCTTCCAGGAAGATTCTTGGGCATTTTCTTGCGTGAGTTCAGTCTCTCAGCTGCCCTCAACACAGCCTGAAAGTCCCTCTTGCTCCTAAATCCCATGTCTTTTTTAACTTATGTACTGAAGTGTGAACAGAATTCTTCACTTTTCATATTTCAATTCGGGCTATCCACCCGGAATAACCGTAACCGGATTAGCAAGAGTTTACTGTATTTTACTCATGTATGACGTACCCTCAGAATTATATTAGATAGACATATTAATAATTTAGTGATGAGATATCAAGCAAGTGGTGCGTATCTGTTTTTGTACTGTTTTGTGCTGGATATAATTCAGAAACTGAACGCATCCCTGGCCCCTACCGGGACTCGAACTCCTTGCCCTTGATCGCCCAGCCCGTAGCCAGTCGCTATACCGACTGCGCTATCCCGGCTCTATCTGGTTCTTGGCTCTTGCAGGTTAACCTCTTGACTCGCATACACTTTAGTAGAGGGCATGACCCAAGATGTCAGACTCAGTCACCATGAAACTACAAGGATGGGACAGTTTGTCGGAGCGAAGAATGTTTCGAACAGAATTTGCAGAGAAATAGACGAACCCCACTGTCCATGCTCAATAATGTCCTTTGTAACAGCAACAGTTTCTCACGAATATTTCGGGGGGGGGGGG